CCCCAAAACCCCAAAACCCCAAAACCCCATCATTTCAAAAAATTTGATTAGAGAATTATTTGAGAGACAATGAATTTATAAATTAAACGAAAGCATCTAAGAAAGTAAGAGCAATATGAATGTTGATGATGATTACTACTTATATTCACAAAATTTGATTCTACACAATAGGGCAATATAACTACTTCACTCACTTGATTCAGCTTTGAGGTATCTACAGTTTTATGCCATTTAGGGTTAGGTTATACATATCTATATTATTATCATTGAGATTGTGCTTATAACTATCTATCAGTTTCAGCACCAAATATTTTGCTGCTATTTTTTATTTAAATTTAACTGAGTATTCTGTTTTACTAGGAAAAGATGCAACAAACAATAAAGGATAGCAATCTAATTTCTTAACTTTCGCAATCTTTTTTATTAGGTTCTTTTATGACAAATCTATTTCGAAGGCTCTATTACTTGAACCATCTGAGCACTATGTTGAGTTCAAAATTGGAAAACCAAGTTCTTCGAATTTTTCAACAGAATTTATATCATTAAACATCTGAATTATTTCGCTTTTTTGTATTTTGATTGGTTTCTCTGACACAAATATCATATATGCAGAGCAGAAACAAGTATAACCCCAGCCCATATTATGAATCACTAATTCAGTGAGCAATTTATAGCACTCATCTTCGTTTTTATCAACATATTACTCATAAGGTAGCATTACTATATCTTAACTATTCTTTATTTTATAGTTTTTTGGGGGTACCTAGGAAGCATCACAGACAACCTTTCGACCAAGATATGCTTGAATGTGTGAGTTCTTAGGTAATTTCGTTGAATAGCATATAGTTGACCTTGAGAATATATTTTGGATAAAGTAGTATGTTTCATCATTATATGCACCTCCATCAGTATAAAAACAGTATGGAAATAAATTTTCCTCCTTCCTGCTTTGGTTTCTAGATAAGTTTTATTTTATGAGCTGAATCATATTAGATTTGGCAGGTATTAATGCTCTTTTTTGCCTTTCATTTATATTTAGATTATTTAAAAAGTGCTTAAATATTATGTAGTTCTGTTTATTTACTGATTTTGAGCTGAATTTATTGACACATAAGAATTTTCTTATGATATCCTATAAATCAATATACTTCAATAGTATCACAAGTGTTTCTTGGAAGACTTGATTTCCAAGCTTGGATGAATCTTAAATATCTGTTGAAGTGTTTATAATTTGTTCTTCCATTTTATTTATTAGATATTGTTTATTTAATTTCCTGCTTTTAATTTACTTCATGGGGTTTTGGGGTTTTGGGGTTTTGGGGTTTTGGGG